CTACCGGTTCGATGCCCCCCCCCCCCCACTCACCGCCAGCAAACGACTCCCGGTCCCCACCACCGTCCGCATCACATCCCCCACTGGTGTTCCCAGCACCACTGTCCTCACCACCACTGTCCCCACTGGTTCCACCACCGCCCCTACTGTCCCCACCAGTGGCCCCCACCACTGTCGCACTGTCCCCGCTGTCCCCAGAACTGTTCCCACCACGGTTCCACTCTCCCCACTGTCTCCACGGCCCCAACCACTGCCCGACTATCCCCACTGTCCCCACTGTCCCACTGACTCCTCCGCTGTCCCACTGAGCTGTCCCACTGTTCCCACCACTGTCCCCACTGTCCCCACCACTGTCCCCACTGTACCTCTGTCCCATTGTCCCACCGCCGTCCTCGCCACCGCCTTCACCACTGTCCCCACCACCATTGTACCCTCCACTGTCCCACTGTTTCCACCTCATTCCCATTGTCCCCACACTGTCCCCACCACCACCGTCCCACCACTGTCCACTGTCCCCCCCTGTTCCCACCATTGTCCCCACCACTGTCCCCACCACTACCGTCCCCACCACTGTCCCACTGTCCCACTGTCCCCACCACTGTCCCGCTGTCCCCTCACCACTGTCCCCACCAACACCGTCCCCACCACTGTCCGCACCCCCACTCGGTTTTCGAGGGGGGGGGGGGGGTTCGAACCGGTAGTGACCCCCCCCCCTTTTCATGATGAGCTGGGGGGGGGGGGGGGAGGGGTTCGAACCGGTAGTGACCCCCCCCGGTTTTCCGGAGGGGGGGGGGAGGGGTTCGAACCGGTAGTGACCCCCCCCGGTTTTCCGCCAGCAGCGGTAGAACACGCTCTTTCTAATATTAGAACGCAATTATACACCGACCAAAATCCTTGCACCCTCACAGCGAATGCTGTTTGGACTAGACGGGGCAGCGCGCGCATGTACAACAAGACGGTGTGAGCAATATTTATGTGAGCACTACATGCACATGCACATGCACATGCACATGCACATGCACACATGCACACATTCACATGTACATGCACATGCACATACGCATACACATACACACACATACATATACATACACATGCATGTATACAAGAGTGCGCTGGCGCTTCGTATCATGCACCTTGGTCCTGCGAGTTCGGCCTGCGGGCGAAGGGAAAGCAGCGACAACTCCGTGATGCCGTTTTCGCTGTCGTCGTTGAAATACGTGCCTCCTTCTCCTTCCATCATGTGTCCTCTTTCTCTGGCCAGTTATCGCCTTATCCTGTGAACCCTTGCCCGTCCTCCTCAACTTTTTCGCGGAGGCTCATCATTGGAAAGCCTTCTGGAGGTCTCACGCAGTCCTCTGAAAGGGGCTTCTTGTGGGGTTCAGGGGGCCTTCTGGAAGCCTTGCGATGGCCTTTGGGGGCTTCCTCGGGCCACTTTGCTGCGAACCACGGTCTCCCTCAACGACCAGGTCACGATCTGGAGTGCTTCGGGGGGCTCTCTTGGACTGTACGCAAGTCCGTTGGGGTCGTTCACTCAACGACCAGGTCACGATTTGGAGTGTTTCGGGGGGCCCTCGTGGACTGTATGCAAGCTCTTTGGGGTCGTTTCGGGGCGATGTTCGGGGCTTCGTGGGCTGTCTTAGACGTCCGAGAAAACCGAAGACCCGAACAACCGGAACTGGATCGGAAACAATGAGAACAGCATTGCTTCCGCATTTGGAGATCTTTTTTGGGGTGTGATCTGGGTCTTCTTCGGGCGCCTGCTGGGTGTCTGGGACCTCTTGGGGCTCTCGCGGGGCCATTTGGCGGCCCTCCTGACCGCCCTGAGCCCCTGCATTGACTACCTACCAGACCACCCCAACCCGACCCGAAAACCCGAATTTCGGGCTGGGGGGGGGGGTACGGGTTCCATCAGCGGTTTTCCCCACCCTCCTGCGGTTGAGGTAATTACTCATTGTGAACCGTGCAGAGTGGTCGCGTCCTTTCTCCTTCCCCCCTCCCCCCCACCCTCCTCCTCCTCATCTTCCTCCTCTTGTGCGTCCTGCCTGCAGTGACTCACCATCATCAGCACAATTAATCATCATCATCATTCATCGTCATCATCATCATCATCATCATCGCCATCATCAGAACCATCAACACCAGCATCATCATCATCATCATCATCAGCAGCAACATCATCGTCGCCATCGTCATTGTCATCATCGTCACCAGCATCATCATCACAATCATCATCACCAGCATCAGCATCGACAGCAGCATCAACACCAGCAACATCATCATAATCATCGCCTGATGCCTGGGGGGCTGCGATCTGCGAACTTGTCGCCACTTTCGTGGGCTCCTGTGGGGGCCAGCGGGATGGTGTCCCACGCACACCCGAACGAGACCTCGCGGCCCCCTGAGGGGCTGCGATCTGCGCAACTGTCGCCACTTTTGTGGGCTCCTGGGAGGGCCAGCGGGGTGCCAGCGGAGTGGTGCCCCACGCACACCCAGACGAGACCTCGCGCTCCCGGGGGGGGCTGCGATCTGCACGAGCGTCGCCACTTGCGCAGATCGCAGATCGCGAAGATCGCAGATCGTGGGGTCCTGGATGTAGCCACCTCATGTGCAGGAAGGGTGGGTACGTCCCCGGGTAATTTCCATGCCGGCTCCCCCCACCCACTGGAAATAAAAAGCACATTGGGGTACCAGAGAGCCGCCGACCTTGCCGCGGGCGGGGCGGGCGACTCAGAATATGAAGGTGTCGAAATCGATGAGGCCGTCGATGACGGAATCGATGGCGAGGCTGTGGTAGACTGCGATGCGAATTCGGAGCCAGGCTCGAAGTGGTTCAAGAGGGCACCGAGCTTATGGATGCTATCGGGCGAGGAGATGTGGAGGCGCAGCGTGTTGAAGTACACCGCATTCGAATCCCTGGGGTCCGTCTTGGCGCGCGCCGTCTGGTTGAGCTCATTGGTCAGCTCATCGCCAAGATCCTGACCCAATTTCCACGGGATTCGGCCCTTGGTCCTCCTGCCCAACACCAGTGCGGATGTTCAGAATGATGTGCATAATCTTCTCCAGCTCGGCGGGCACGAAGGTTTCGAGAGACGCCGACCTCGAGTCAGCATCGATACCCTCCAGCCTGGCAGACTCGGTGGACAGAGCGGTTGTGCTCTCCTCCGCCAGCTTGGTTCTCATCGTGGATAACCGGTACGTGGCCGCGTTCGGGATCTCTTGCTGCAGCCACGTCTCGAAGTACTCCAATTTAGCGATCGCCTGTGGCACTACCGTCAGGACCATTGTGGACATAACCTCGTACATCCTCGCGATCGCCGGCTCGTAGGACTTCTGGATATTGGTCGTGTCAGAGTGGAGCATGTATTTTGTAGTCCATCGCCATCTTCTCGTCGATGTCGGTGCAGATATGTGCGGTGTAGTTCTCCAACGTCTCGACCGTCGACTTTTCCTTCCCCAGGCCGTCTTTTGTCGCGGACTTGAGCTTCTGTCTATCAAATTCCGTGCGCCGATTTGTGCGTGTCTCCGCAGGGCCGAGGTGCGATGGGGGCAAGGGCAAATTGGAGCCGAGAGGGCCTGAAGTCCCAGAGGACAAGGATGTGGACGCCAGATCAGTGAAGGCGTCGCGGAGCTTGATGTCCTCCTCCATCTTACCCTTGTGGTCAAGCTTGGCGTCTTCACTGAGGCCAGGTTGACCCTGCGAGCGAGATGGCGGTGAAGACACAGCCGAATGTGAGTGCTTGCGAGAGTCAGCCCGCATCATGTCTATATTCTTGTCAGTCAAGTCGCCGATGTGTCCAAACCCTGTACGCCGCGAGCTTACCTGACGCCACGGGTGAGGCCGAGGTGAAATCGAATTTCCTGTGCAAGGTCTTGCCATTGATCATATGCTTGATGTCTTGGCGATCCTGGGCGTCCACCTCGATAAAGCGTTTGCCTGGCGCCGAGTGGACAGCAAAGTACCACTGATCCCGCTCAGCACGACAACGCTGTGCTGCAGTCAGTCCATTCCGTCAGCAAGAGCCGGGCGGTTAGAACGAAGTCCTGGCATGATAACGCCACACAGCAGTGGGAGAGACCAGAACAGCTGGAACGTCATGGAGACGTCGCGCGCGACACGGCAGTGCAAAAGGAAAGCCCACTCGGAAGTGGGATCGCAGCCACCTTGAAATAGGCTCTTGAGCCAAAATGGCTACGGACACCAACATTCACCTGCTCCAATTTCCGGGAAAGGGTGGGGGCCAGGGTTCTCTTTTAGTCGTTTACCCCCGGAATCAACAGCTCTAGGGCCGGCGAAATTATTTGCGATAAATAACGAGGTCGTCTGGGGCTGGCGAAATTATGTTTGAGGATGTCTCGAACGAAACCCTTGTTTTTCAGAATTTGTTGAGGATGTATCGAGCGAAACGCTTGTTTGGTGTTATAGATTATCCTCTCCTGAGGACCAGAATTCAAAGGATCTCTCAAGTGAAATTCTTGTTATCACGTGTCCAGGTCTTGAGGATGTCTCGAGCGAGACGCTTGGTTTCACGCCTCCGGGTTGCCCAGACAGATGTCTAGCGCCAGGATCTGTTGAGGATGTCTCAGACCAGAAACTTGTTTTCACGTGTCCAGGGCGCCCAGGCGGATGTCTAGCATGAGGATGTGTCGAGGAAGTCTCGATCGAGACGCTTGTTTGCACGTGTCCAGGTTGCCCGGGCGGAGGTCTAGCATGAAGATGTGCTGAGAACGTCTTGAACGAAACGCATGTTTTCACGTGTCCAGGTCGCCCAGGCACAGCACAGCCCTTGGCACGGTACATCAAAATCGATACCCTTAGCATTGCAACCTGGCATGTTGCCTGGCACGTTCCGCGGCGCGTCCCGTGGCGAGTCCCCCTGGCACGTCCCGCGGCACGTACATTGGCACGTTCCGTAGCGCGTCCCCTTGGCACGTCCCGCGGTGCGTCCCCATGGCACGTCCCCTGGCACGTCGCCTGGCGCGTCCCTTGGGACGTTCCGCGGCGCGTCATCCTGGCATGTCCCCTCCTGATCGATTATTTCTGAGGCAGCACTACCATCTTGCTCAGGCAGCTCGGCTTAATCCAGATCATTCGGTCAGGATCGATTCAAAGAGTTGGGGAGGAATAACGCATATATAGAGAAACAGGTCCGCGGGCATGGCACATCGCAGTTCAGCACGGCCCAGCACGCCACAGCCGTCGGCACGGTACATCAACATCGATACACTCAACATTGCACCTTGGCACGTTCCTTGGCGCGTTCCGTGACCGTGGCGAGTTCCCCCCCCCCCCGTCCCCGCTGGCACGTCACGGCGGAACCGCGGCGCTTCGCCCTGGCACGTCCCGCGGCACGTACATTGGCACGTTCCGTAGCGCGTCCCCTTGGCACGTCCCGCGGTGCGTCCCCATGGCACGTCCCCTGGCACGTCGCCTGGCGCGTCCCTTGGGACGTTCCGCGGCGCGTCATCCTGGCATGTCCCCTCTGTCGATTAGTTCGGGGGCAGCTACCATCTGCTCAGGCAGCTCGAGCTTAAGATCCAGATCAGTTCGGTCAGGACTCGGATGCCAGGGAGGACTCGATGCACAACGTTATACAGAGCATAACCGCGGCATGGCACATCGCAGTTCAGCACGGCGCAGCACAGCACAGCCCTCGGCACGGTATATCAAGATCGATACACTCAGCAGTGCAACTTAGCACGTTCAAAGGCGCGTCCCGTGGCGAGTCCCCCTGGCACGGCGCGCGGCGCGTCCCATGGCACGTCCCGTGGCACGTCCATGGGCTCCGTAGCGCGTCCCCTTGGCAGGTCCCGCGGTGCGTCCCCGTGGCACGTGCCGTGGCACGTCGCCTGGCGCGTCCCTTGGGACGTTCCGCGGCGTGTCCTCCTAGCATGTCCCCCTGTCAATTAGCTCTGGGGCAGTTCATGCAACATCAATATCGATACATTCAGCATTGCATGTGCCCGTCGCCCAATCAGGTGTCTTTGAAACGTTGCCATGCCTTACATTTCTATATTCTTTTCCGGGTTCGTGGGTCGATCATGTTTTTCGGAGCGTGGACCCTGGAGGTCCGGACCACTTCCCCAGGGCCGGTTTTTCGCCCTGAGTCGTTTTTAACGCTCCCGAGGCCCGGCGAGGGCCCCCGGAGGCCGAAAACGGCCCAAATCCCGCTGCTCAAATTTTTTTTGAGCGTCGGATCGCAGGGGAGGAGGAGGAGGAGGAGGAGGAGGAGGAGGAGGAGGAGGAGGAGGAGGAGGAGGGCGAGGGAGGGAGGAGAAGGGGTGATGGGAGGGGGCGGCTGAGGAAGGAGAGGAGGGGAAGAAGAGGAGGAGGAGGAGGAGGAGGAGGAGGAGAGCGAGGGAGATAGGAGGAGCGAGGAGGAGCGAGAGGAGGAAGAGGAGCGAGAGCGAGGAATGAGGAGAGGAGAGGAGGAGGAGGAGGAAGGAGGAGAGGAGGGAGAGGAGGATGAGGAGGTAGGAGGAGTAGGAGGAGGAGGGGGAGGTAGGATGGGAGGGAGTGATGAGATGGCAGAGGAGGGGAATGAGGAGGACAAGATGAGGAGTGAGGAGGTATGAAGGAGGTGTAGGAGGAGGTTAGGAGGAGGATGAGGAGGAGTAGGAGGAGGGAGGAGAGGAGGAGGAGGAGGAGGGGACGGAGGAGGAGAGGAGGAGAGGAGGAGGTGGAGGAGGAAGTGAGGAGGAGGAGGAGAGGAGTGGTTTGGTGAGTGGCGAAGCCTCTGGCAGGGGGCGTCCAGGAGGCCGCGGAGGCTGGGAGTAGTTTAGCTTCGGGGGCGGAGGCCTGGGGCCTGAGTGCGCTCCTGTCAGGGGTCCTCCTCCTCCTCCTCGCTCCTCATCCTCCTCCTCCTCCTCCTCCTCCTCCTCCTCCTCGTCCTCGTCCTCGTCCTCCTCCTCCTCTCCTCCTCCTCCTCCTCGCTCCTCCTCCTCCTCCTCCTCCTCGTCCTCCTCGCTCCTCCTCCTCCTCCTCCTCCTCGTCCTCCTCCTCCTCCTCCTCCTCCTCCTGCTCCTCCTCCTCCTTAGTGCGGAGACCTGGGTCCGAGTGCGCTCTGTCAGGGGTCCCCGGCCCCATCCATGAAAATGTTGACCGAAGAAAGTGCACAACAATCTCGGTGGCAACTCATGGGAGCTCCCACACCATCTTGTCGGCTCTCGCGAAACGAAGCAAATCGACGCTAGTCGACGCTCAGTGGACGCTCGTCGACGCCAACCGACGCAAAATCGGCGCTGTCTCGCCGACTACCCGACGCCAATCGACGCTAGAGGCGGAATTGCGAGGGTGTACCAGACTCCCATGGCTTGCCACGGAGAAGAAGGTGCACACACGTCAGCACGACGCGCGCGCACTCAGGACGTGAGTGAGCGTGCGCGCACGCAGGCGCGAGCACTGGCCGGGCGGCGGCTGCGTCTGAGCCCGCAGGAACGGCAGCAGCCGCAGCCGCTGCCGTGGTGGTGCCAAGCCAGACGGCGAAACGGTCGTGACGTGCGCGGCGGACTCGCCTGACGAGCCCGATGTGGCTCCAGCAAGGCTTTGGGGCCATTTCGTCTGGTCGGTACTTCGTCCAACTGCAGTTGTGACCTCGCCGATGGGACTGATCAGATCGAGGCGTAGTTTGGGTGGCTGCTTTGAGATTGCTGGCAGTCGTAAGTATGACGTTGCTGCTCTGTGCGAGATCACTCGTGAAGGTGACTGAGGCAACTGTCAAGTGATGTACGCTTGCTGTTACACCTTCTGTTCAATGGGCTCAATGCTGAAGAAGCTGGTTACGCTGCCCTTCAAGATGCCTGCCTCTCTCCCTGGCCCGAAGCCCGAAGACGACCCTGAGCAGCATACAGCAACGGTGTGCGGCGACAGTTCTTGCAGACGAGATGCGCACACCGATACCCCAGCAGCGCTCGAGCAGTGCAAATGGCGTGGGGCACAACGCCCAACAGATCTGCCGCTCGAGGGGCAATACAGGGGCCCAGGGACACACCAATAAGTAGACACTTGTTTGATCCGCGGGTCGAGAGCGAGCCTCTTCCGATAGAAGCTAAGCGGGCCACGCACAGCTTTAATTAGCAGAGGGGGGGCAAAAGAAGGCGGGGCCTCACGTCAAGGCCAAGAGAGGGCAAAGCCCTGGGATCAGGCGGTGCCGAAACCGAAGCGCAAGAGCGAATCAGTAGACACAAGTAACAGGACTCCCCATGTTTTCCCATAGTCTCTGGGCTTTCGTCTTCCCCCCCTCCACTTCCCATATTCTTCCCCATCTTTTCCTGGGAGTTGACGACGAGCTGTGCCTGTGTGTGTGCTTCCTTCCCTCCCGAGATGCAAGGGGGCGGTGTGCAGCGGGGGGGGGCTGCGCGCCGGGCTCCTCGACAAAACGGCGGGCAGCTTCTCATACCCGAGATGCTGCTGCACATGCCTGGCGAATACAGGGCAGTTTCTGATACATGGGATGTTTAAGCATATAGGATTGTTAACACATGACTAATGCATGTATAAATGAATGCATGAACTCATCGTTGTTGCTTTAATTGCTAAATCCCTGCATTTTTTTATACACGATCCGCACGGGGAGCATGTATTTTTAAAAAACGGCACTGTACGTTCAGTCCCATCTGGTGGGCTTCCACCGCCACCACCATCAGTAGGAGGGGGAGGGGGGGGGGCCTTCTCCTCCTCTTTGTCCTGCTCCTCCTCCTCCTTCTCTGCCTCCTTCTCCTCCCCCTCCTCCTCCCCCTCCTCCTCCCCCCTCCTCCTCCTCCGCCTCCTCCTCCTCCTCCTCCTCCTCCTCCTCCGCCCTCCTCCTCCTCCTCCTCCTCCTCCTCCTTCCCCCCTCCAGCTTGTGGTGGTGGCGGCGGAAAACAGGCCCATCACCTTTGCGCGTTCGGGAATGGGGTGGACAAACCTCCCTTGGGCAAACCACCCTTTAGCGAAAACGGCCTGGGAC